AAGCGCTGTCGGGGGAGATGCCATCTCTGTGTGTGTGTGTGTGTGTGAGTGAGTGAGTGAGAGAGAGAGAGAGAGAGAGAGAGGTTGGCATCCCCTCCTCCCTTGGCCAGGTGTTCAGTCCGGGCTCTCTCCTCCCGCCCCCGCGAAGCCCCCTCTCCCACTGCACATCCCAAAAGCATCCATGATCAACAGCAGGGGATTGGAAAGGGGCTCAAGAGGGGAATTGAACCCTAACAGCCCAAAGTTCAGTGGCTATGGAGAGATGCCAAGAGTCACTGGGGTGTACTGAAGCCCAGAGGATGTGGCCAGATGTTTAAAGGAACAGCTGGGGAAGCCAATGACCCAGAAAGGGCTTTGGTGGGTGGGAAAAGTGTGACCGAACGAACCCTTCTTTGTTTCATGCCTTGTGTTTTGGGGGACTTTTGAGGGTCTTCAGAAGTTGTGTCCCGTAGGGGCAAGGTAGAAGGCCAAACCAAATCGCAGCCCGGATGTCTCTTAAGTGGAGGCGATGTTCTAAGAAAAAGGCACACGTCCTGCACCTTTGTTTGGTTTTTACGCCACTGAATTTTGGGGCAGAGAGGAAATGCCGCTTCGCCCCACCCTGCATGTGGGGGCTGCTGCTGCTGCTGCACTAGCGCTTTGCCGTTCCAAGAGGCCGCATTGCGTCCGTGGTTTTGGACTCTCAGAATATCTCAGGCCCTCCTAACTGAGTCGGCATCGATGACTAGTGTCAACCTGTCTTGGTCCATCCTGAGAATGTCATTCTCATCAGAATATTTGTGGGACAGGAGGCAGGGCCCAGACAGACGTTTGCCAACAAAATGGGGAGAAATAGAGCTACAGTACAGTATCTGGAGTTTGATTCCCACCCTTGGGTCAGTCAATCAGGACTGGGTGAACTTGGGAGGCCACTCGCCATAAGGTGATGGGGTTGGAGAAGAGGGTCTGTCGAAAGAGACAACGTTGCAAACTTATTTTTTTCCCATTTCAGAGTTTAAAGCAGAGTTTCTGTATGGTACCTTTTGGGACAGTGAGCATTTGTTAACTTAAAAATCAGCTTAACTCTCAAAAAGAGGTTTTTTAACTATAGTAGAAAAACTCACTTGCACTCTCTAGGGGCCAAAATATATTTCCTAGTTTTTTTAAAAAAACTGGCACTATGGGGAACCCTATGGATGCTGGAAATGCTACAAGTGGGGCAGAATGGCACCTCTGTGTCTTCTGAAGGGCACAAGGATGGGGGGGCTGCTTGAGCAAAAAAAGAAAAAAGAAAAGAGGTTTCCAGAAACTTTTCCAAATGTATGTGAGTGAACCAGGGCTGGGAGATGGCAAAAACGGCCTGGTGGGGCCGCAGTTTGCCCACCCCAGTGTTGAAGCATCCAAGATGTGGTTAGAGCCTCAGTCCTTGGTGCCCCCCCCCGCCAAGGTTTGTCTTGAGAGCATGGGAGTCATTACCTGCCAAACTACAGAACCCCGGACAGGATGGATGGACGAGGCCGGTCCAGTAGTTAGCGGGGCTGTGCATTTGGTGGCTGGGTGTATTTTCTTTCGCAAAGGGCCCAGGCCCATTCCTGTGGAAAAGACTGGCTCTTGGAATCCTAGGATGATGGGAGTTGGGGAAAGGGGCCTGTAAGGCCATCAAGCCCAACCCCCAGCTCAGGGCAGGAGTCAGATGTGCCCGGTGGAGGTCTACGCTACAGGAGCATAGTCAGAAGGGAGCGGCAGGCCAGCCTGCTCGTCGGCACCTTCAAGGCTCTCAGTAGCCCATTGTGAGAGGCCTCGGTGGCTGAGGGTGTATTCCTGTCCCCCCCCCCAGCAGTTTTTGGGAACCCCTTTAACTGCCCCCGGCATCACCTGTAGGGAACCTTGAGACTGGCAGTTAAGGGAGAGATGGAGGTTTCTTTTGCTGGGACTGGATGAGAAAGCTCACCTGCCGAGCATCCCAAGAACCTGCTCAGACAAACCAGGGGCTCCAACCTTTGGGAGAAT